ATGAAAAAATTACTGAAATCGAATGCGTTTCTCATTTAATATGTTTCTGTCGGCTGTATGATGACACAGTTTGCTTTCTCATGTCACTAGCTTTAAATATGCAACTTGCAACTGAATAACGTCTAGGTTACTAATGTAGAAGAAGAGAATGGAGACGTTATGTCAGAACTGAACTGACGAATTGGGAACTGGCCTGAGAGCCCAATTACCTTAGACTGTAAACTAAACGAGCCAATGGACATTGGGATGCAAGATTTGCATCGCGAACCACACCCCGCAAAGCGGGTATGAATGGAAGCGCGCTAGCACTCACACATTAGTAACCTAGACAGTCCCTATCAGTCAGTCACGTTCAACATTACGTCAGAACTAAACTGATGAATTGGGATCCCAACCAAAATTGCACAATTGCTGCCCCTTTCAGCACCCTGCGTAAGCTGTCTAATCCCCCCGCACCTGCTGGGGCGGAGAAAGGACAGGGCTTTAACCCTCTGGGGTCGGCAAACGCGCTGACGCGCTTTGGTCGATTTTTTTCACATAGCTGCAAAATAGACTTAAAATACTCCGTCATTTTTGGTCATACAGACTTAATAGATATGAAAAAAATAAACTGTTAAATGTCTACTTTTTTATGTGTCCACTTACAAGCAAAATAAAATATTGTGCTTTTGTAAAATAAAGAAAATAAACAGCGTGTGCTTTCTGCCTCTCCGTCACCGTGAACTTCTTTTCTGGAGCAAGTCTCTAAACTTAAACAAAACTCAGCGTATACTATTAACCCAGGCATGAACAATATATCTTTATAATCATTTAAGTGTGCACTTTTAAATTATCTGATTCAAAACTAAAACAAATATCCTCTGTTTATGTAATCTATATAAAAAGAGAGATGTCAGTCATCCTCATTTCAGCTCATTATAGCTCGTTATCTGTTAATGTGACCACGCCCACGGAGAGCCTTTCCAAACAAAAAGTGTCTTACAAAATTTAAATCAGTGTATTGTTTTATGTGAATGATTAGGCAGGATGATTTTCAGATAATTTTGAAGCAAAAACTGAGAACATCCATTAGTCAAAAGTCTTGTGGACACATATTTAGTAATAATAATAATAATAATTCATTACATTTATATAGTGCTTTTCTCGGCACTCAAAGCGCTTTACAGAAGGGGGAATCTCCTCAACCACCACCAGTGTGCAGCATCCACCTGGATGATGTGACGGCAGCCATATTGCGCCAGAACGCCCACCACACACCAGGTTACTGGTGGAGAGGAGACAGTGATGAAGCCAATTGGCTTCATCACAATAGTCTCACTGAGTAGTATGTGTTTTGTGGCCTTAATTCAGAAACTTTAAGTTTTAGTTTTTTTCAATAACCATGCATAAACAATATTCTCTCAAAAATACAAATATGTACATACATGTTGCTCACATATTATGGTAGCTCTGTTTGTGCTAAATAGAGTGTAATGACAACTTTGCCATTAATATGTTTATAAGCAACTGAAAAAAGCACAAATCTCAGGGCATGTCAAAACATCTCAAGGACCCCAAAAACACCTTAGACCCCAGAGGGTTAATGCAGGTAGAGTCGACAACTGCTGTTCCTTCTTACCCACTCAGTGAGACTATTGGATAACAATGGGAAAGCGTGCCTATTCTAAACAGAAGGAGACCCTACGGAGACCACATCCTGCCCGTCGGGAAGTATCATGTGGGAATTACACATATGGACTGACCATTAGGGCTGTGCTACGTATGGAAAGTCTCTAGGTAAGATTCAGCCTAGTTAGGGTGAAGTCAATACCAAGCAGAAACTGCAGGGCGGGGTCTGCCAAGGGAAAGACACAGACTCGCCAACAGGGAAGCTGTAACGTGGAAGAGCATACGTGGGATCACCCATCACAACACATGGACACCTAGTCTAGCACAGGGGCTGACCTACTGGGAATACACAGGAGTGCTAGTCCTAGCTTTTGACACCTCCTCAGTGTCTGACTACCGAGGCTGCTTGAACTCCATGCAGGGTTTGCCAGGTGGGGATATCACATGTGGAGCAGAAAAGCGCACGAATCCCTTTTTAGGAGGGGAGTGGCACTACAAGCGAGACACCGAGCGGGTCCCCCAAACAACTAGCTACTCATAGCCAGTACAAGGAAGGACACAGGCTCTACTAGGAGATTGAAAAACATTGCAAATGTGTTGGGTGTTGCCCAGCCCGCAGCTCTACAAATGTCTGTCAGCGAGGCACCGGGCCCCAACGCCGAGGAGAAGACAATGCTCCAAAGGGGCTGGTCTTGAGCCTGATATGCCAACCTCTGCATGGAGACAGCATTTTCCTTCTGCTGGCCTCCATAACAAACAAAGAGCTGGTCTGAGGTCCTGAAGCTCTGCGTGCAGTCTACGTACAAACACAAGGCGCGAACGGGCACAGCAGTGCAAGAGCTGGGTCTGCCTCCTCCAGGGGCAGCGCTTGCAGGTTCACCACCTGATCCCTGAAAGGGGTGGTGCAAACCTTGGGCACGTATCCTGGCACGTTTCGTTGACTGAAAATGCACATCAGTAAAGTCAGATCAATAATATTGTTAATTATAATTATTGATGAATAATATAGAGTCCCCAACCAAGGAAGCCAGAGGCAACAGTGGCAAGGAACCAAAAAAATACCTTGAGAGAACCCAGGCTCAGTTGACAAGGTTCATTAAGATTCATAAAAAGAAAGCACGACTCTGATTGGGCATTTACGGGGGTCATCTCTGTGAGAACAGAATGAACAGACTCCACTTCAAAGCATCAGCGCGTCTCGTAAAGGGGCTGTAGCTGAAGTGATAGTGTCTACCACTCCTGCTCCTCGTCTTTCCTGACCTTGCACAGTGTCTGTGTGATCAGGCTCACTGGGGGAAATGTATACTTGTGTATGCCCCGAGGTCAGCTATGTGCCAGTGCATCCATGCCGGCAGTGGGACGTGTCCAGAGAAGCAAACCGGTCTACCTGTGTGGCCTTGAAGCGTCTCCAATCAGCTGGAACATCTAGGGGTGGAGTCGCCATTCTCCCAGAAGCGTGGGCTGTCGTGAGAGCTTACCGGCTGCACAATTGAGCTTGCCCAGAATGTGAACTCCGATGTTTCTGACTACAGAGGAGGAGATGACGAGCGAGTTACAACATGCGACCGGAGCGTCGACCACCCTGATGGTTGATATAAGCAACGTTGTCCGTCTGGGCCAGTATATGCTTGCCCTGTAGTAACGATCTGAAGTGGCACATATGTACTGCTAGTAACTCGAGGCAATTGATGTGCCACTGTATTCGAGGTCCTGTCCAGGAGCCTGAGGCAGCATGCCAATTGCACACAACCAGGATGAGCCAGCCACTTAGATAGTTGAGAATGCAAACACCGTCCTCCCTCAGATGAGCAAAGGCCGCCTCCGTGACTTTCGTGACTATGCAAGGCGACAGGACCAGCCTGAAGAGGATGATCTTGCACTTACATGCCTGTCCCTCGAATGCAAAGCTTAGGAACAGTCTGTGTTGAAGGAGAATCGAGACATGAAAGTACACCCAATCTTGTGGATGAATGCATTCAGAAATGCGTCACAGCATTGAACGGGAGCTTGTGCAGAACCCGATTCAATACACGCAGGTCCAAGATTGGCCATAACCCACTGCCTTTCTTGGGTACAATGAAGTACGGGCTGTAAAATTATGTCTTCATGTCGGCTGCAGGGATCGGCTCTGTCGCATGCTTCACTAGTAGGACTGTGATTTCTGCACGCAGGACAGGAGCATCCTCGTCCGCCACTGAGGGGATCCGAACACTCCTAAACCTGAGGGGACGCCGGGCAAACTGAATCGCATAGCCGAGTCGAGTCTGACAGTTTGAATGAGCAAGTGAGACGAGCTGGGAAGTGCTAGCCAGGCTTCCAGATGCCATTCAAGCGGGGTCAGAGGGACTACTGACGTACCCGCAGTGGGGCAGCATGGTGGAGCATAGGGGTCTGACCCTAAAGTCACAGCATCCCAAAGTGGGGACCAAGTGCGTAATACAACACTTACCTGGCTCCACGAGTCGGCAGGGGGTGCGTGAGAAGGTATCACATCCTTGAACCGCACACCACTGCCTGCTGGCGATAGTAGAGTGTCAAGGCACAGTGTAGCACCCTGCCATCTGCGCCCTCTTGGGACCGAGAGATAGAGGAAGCTGCTCTTTCACTGAGAATTTGCATACCGCTACATAACAGCGGTATGCAATAGGGGTGGTGATGGCGCAGTGGATAAGACACATGCCTTTGGTGTGAGAGACCTGGGTTCGAATCCACTGTCAGACACCAATGTGTCCCTGAGCAAGACACTTAACCCCTAGTTGCTCCAGAGGCGTGCGACCTTCTGACATATATAGCAATTGTAAGTCGCTTTGGATAAAAGCGTCAGCTAAATGAATAAATGTAAATGTAACAGAAATTTGACTTAACAAAAGATTATCCGACCCCCCTCCAGGGGAAGAGCAGCTCCATCAAACTTCGGGTCACCCGTCTGAGGGGTGGTGTTTAACCGACCGCTTAGAGAATTTAGCGGCGACTGAGATGTCGTCTTCTTGTGGGGGGGCTCAACGTCACGGCTGAGCTGGCTGCGCCAGTGCTTGCTTTTTATTTTCACCGCAGGGGACTGGATGCCCTTGGTGACGAGCAGACTAAGGGACAGCTCATGATGGTAAGGTAGCGTGTCAGAGCAGGCTCTTGATTGCCTCAGCCTGCTTCTGGACTGCCGAGAACTGCTGGGCACACTCCTCGACAGCGTCACCGAAAAAGGTCACCTTGTGAGATGTGAGCATCGAGAAAGCACATTTTGTCAACATCTCGCACACCTACAGTGATTAGCCAAGGGGCACTTCTGGACCAACAAGGTGGACATCGTCTGGCTGAGGGCCTGCGCCTTGACTTTAAACATAGTCATTAATCATGAGCAGTTCCTGCATTAACCCCAGCTCAGAACTACCCCCATGCATTATGAGTGCTTTGGCCTGCTAGACTTGCAGGGTAGCCATCGCATGCAGGGCAGAGGCAGCCTGTCCAGCAACACTGTAAACCTTAGCACCCAGAGCTGGGGTTGTCTCCCAGGTGCTGGACAGGAGTTGCGGGTTACCCCACCATGTGGCAGCATTTTGCAGGCATGCCCAGCAACTGCACACTCCATCTGGGGAATCCCCACGAACCCCCTGACCACCCCACCCTAAAGGTAGTGTGAGAGAAAAAAATTTGAAGCAGATTTTGGTACGTTTGGCCTTCTGTACTGGCAATAATGCTTCTATACTGCCAAAGTTTGTCATTCACCTTTGGGAAGAAAGGAACGGGGGCGGGGCAAGGCAATTATTTTCACTGCACCCCCAGAAAAAACAATTATCCAGCCATGAACGCTCAGAGCGAGTCCAAGCGCGCAGCTGCCCGGGCAAGCATGGCTGTCAACAATGAACCTGATTCAGCATGAGCAAACACATCATCTTCATCTCCAGAGCATAATAGCCCTCGCTCCGATGCAGCAATCGACATCTGATCCTCACCCAGCGCGGCGGAATACGTGCTGGGTTGCCGTGACAACCCACACTGTCAGCAGGCAACTCGACGGCACAAGACACGCTGAGGAGCGGGAGGTCCACAGGGATTTTGCCCGGCGGAGAAGCTTACACTCCCAGAGTGGCAAGCAGATCCGCAGCTGTGCATGCTGGAAGGTTTTTTTTTGGAACTGCAAATTAATGCAGAGGAAAGCCCTTTTAATAAAAGACCACCGCTGACGCACCGTCACACCAACACTCTCTGAAGAGCTTCTTCCTGGTTTGTTGTACACACTCGAACGATGATTGCAGAGCAGAATCGTGAGAAACGTTCTGCTCCGAATTGAATGCTTGAATATGCGAGAGCAAGTTTGCTTCCATTCATACCCACTTCGTGGGCGAAATCCCAATTCATCAGTTTGGTTCAGATGTAACATCGAACGTGACTGACTGATAGGGAACAAATATTTAAAAGCGTCCAGCTGAATCTAAACTAATGCAAATACATGGTAACAATCATGACATTAAACATTTGGCACATTGTTTTTACCGCTTGAGGTACTAATGGTAGCATCCTCTCAGCCTCGACACAAATATACTGCTGTTCTTTCTCTACTAATGCAGCATCTAGTCAACCAATTTTGTCTTTTTAATAATATGAAAACACGTTCGGTACTGTACTGTTTACATACCATTTCATTGTCTGTTTTAAACCCACATCCGAAGTGTCCCGTTCTGTGCAGCGTACAGCCTTACGTGTCAAAAAATAACAGTACAAGGCATCAGTGATTGTTTTTATTTCGCATCTAGAGGCCGCTCTCGTACTGTGTAATGACAGCGGAAAAACTATGGGTATGGATTTTTGCCAATAACCAATTGTTCCAGCAATAGGTTATCAGTTCCGATTAATCAGCAAAACCGATCAATCAGTAGACCTCTAATTATGATGTTAGTGGGTCAAGCAGACCTTAACTTGTTTTAATACAATTCCCCAACAAAAACTAGCAAAAAGTAACCATTACTAATAACAGATCAAAAAAGTATTATAAAATAAATTGTTACTACAAAAGACATTACAAATATTAAACAAAATGATAGTATGAGAACATGGGCCCTATCTTGCACCCAGCGCAATTGACTTTGTACACCGACGCATGTATCATTCGTATTTTACACCCGTGCAAAGCGGACTTTTCCCTCCACAGACGCATGCCGGCAAACTAGGGAGTAAACTTGCGCTCCCTGGGTGGTTCAGCGCAAAAAGGAGGCGTGTTCCGGCGCAAACAATCCCTGGTGCTATTTTGCAGTTCCAGAAAACAATTGCGCCACTGACCAGAAAAAACCTAAACTAAAGTCAGTCGTGCGTTGCGCGTACATTCAGATGCTATTTTAGGCGCGCATGCTTGGCCATAATACAGAGTGTGAACAATGCGCATACAATGTAGATGATTCTCTCATTTACACAGATGCATTTTACTTTTTTGCAAATTATACATTATTATAAGGAAAAATAATAAAACACGAGGGAAATCATTGTTGTGTCCATGACGATGGGAAAAATAGGCATAAAGCTTACACATTTACCCAAATTATTATATGCATGTTTAACCGAAGCTAATTTGGGTGGGTTTGTCCCGTCCCCAATGTCACTTCTCTTTCTTTTACGGCCCTGACGAGAACATGGATCTCCTCGGCTGTGAACCGATTCTGAAGCGCGCCTGTAATGCGCCGTTATAATAGTATTGCGCCATGGAACAAGCACACCTCGTTCATCATGCTCTTAAAGGGAATGTGATATGACGCTCTTATTGGTTTGTTTCCCGTTGCGCCCAAACCACACCTATGAATAATGAAGCTACTTCAGACCAACCCCTTTTAGATTTGCGTCGAGTGCAAGAGTCATTATCCCGCCAGTTAAATAGCAACAGCGCCGAGATCCGCCCACAAAGTTACTTGCGCTTTGCACTTGACACTTGCGTTTTAGATCGTTAAAATAGGGCCCCATATGTGTAACGGTAAGCAGCTTGAGTCCCCTTGAGAGCCACCAGAGGGCACTCCACATCAGACTATTGTCATTCCCTCACAAACTACATCTCCCAAAACTCACTGCCCGGACTCTTCATCCATTATCACATTCACCTGTGTCTCATTATCTTGTTTAGCTTACCCCATATAAGCCTGGTTTTCTCCTTCATTGTCTAAGAAAGTCTTGTTTAGTGTTACACTGCAATTCCAAGCATTCACCCTGGTTTCATGTCTCTTGGTTTTGGATTTCTTGCCTGTTCAGTGGATTACTCTTTTGCCTGTGTTCCCTGCTTTGTTGTGTTTGTTTGTATGGACTGCCTGCCTGTGTTTGACCTTACCTGTACTTTGGATTACATTTTTGGATTACCCTGTTCAATACTGCATTTGGATCTGCAATACTCGGAGAAGTTTGTGACAATATGATAAATAAACCTGGATTTTAAAATATTTGTAACATTTAATTGTATTTAATATTTTTATTTTCAAAAACTGGGAATATACAGTAGTTGGTAATTTGTTGAATTTTTTTTTTTTTTGCTTTTGGAATAGTTAAGAGTGTGGGAATCAATGTGTTAGGACGGCAGAACTTTCAGGAACATTTAAAATTTTGTCCAAAACAATGTGAAACAGTGTTTCTTTAGTTTTAACATAGTTAGCATATGACTACTCTGAAATCATCTCTTTAAATAATTGTGTAAGGGGTCTGTGTGTTTTTTTGTGTGTGTTTTTTATCGCTGGCCCACGGATTTGAGCCAATGTGTTAATCCCGATATTCTTTACGTCAGTGAATAAATACATAGATCTGCATTTGACGTTTGTGTGTCCTACCCCAGTCTGGTGGTAGAACATTTATTAGACGTGCAAGAGGTTCTGGGTTCTGGATACACTGGTCTGAAGTGCACTCATGTACTCACACTTATTAAATTAGAACTGGATTAATTCCCCCCCCCCCCCCCCCGTTTTGTTTCTTTCAAAATCAAATGACCAGAAGCTACACGAATTTTAATAAATATGATTGGATTTAGAATTTTAATTGATACTTTTGGCTTGCACATTTAATTTGTACTTTTTATGTTTATTTAAAGAGTCTTAATAATGTAATGTTATTTGTATTGTCTTTATTGCCAGCTAATTTCCTGCCTTTTGGATTCGGAGACACATTAAACCCTGTTTCAGATGATGGAAGCTCTCCAGCAATTTCCTTGCAGCAACCTTTCAGATACTTTGGACGTACACACAGTCAAATCTTTGTAAGTACTGGACTATTTAATTGATTGCAGATTCATTTATGCATCAATGGTGATTTAAAAAAAAACTCTTAGCATATACAGTATTTGATATTGATATATTTCTTATAGATTATTTCGATTTAACAGTGTGCAATATTTTCCATATTTAGTTTGGTCAAATATTGGTCAACTTTTTTTTCTCTCTCTCTCAATTTTAGGTGAACAACAATGGCCACTTAACATTTGCAGCGCCGCGGTCTTCCTACACTCCCATTCAGAACCCTGGAATAGACATCATTGCTCCTTTTTGGACTGACCTTGACAATAGACGTGGAGGAACTATCTCCTATAGGCAGGATAAAAGCAGTGCTGTACTGGCACAAGTCACTGCAGCTGTTAAGCAATACTTCCCTAACATAACGTTTAGTGCTTCATCAGCTTTTGTTGCTACCTGGGCCAATGTGCCATACTATAATGGTGGAGGGGTAAGATCCAATCGTTGCTTATCATTAAATAAGTGTTGTCCTGGGAAGGGTAACGGTTTTTAATGCTGTCTGTTGGTATTTTGAAGGTGCTTTCTTTCCAAGTGGTTTTAGTCTCCAGTGTTCATGGCTCTTTCATCCTGATCAACTATGGTGACATGGCTGCAACAAGACGAATTTGGCGGGTGAGTGGAGACTGCCTTTGAATGAGTGGAGGTCCTTGAAATTAGAAAAATTACAAGGAAATTGCCCTTGCCTCACTTCATATATTACATAACGTGTCGGTTTTGCAACATCACAAGCAAAAAACAGTTATATCTGGAACAGGTTGAGAACCTAAAAATGATTAATTTACTGTACATCTACAGGCTGGTTACAACACGGCAGACTCGGTCAATTCTTTCACAATTCCAGTAACCAATGCCTCAGAACTCTCATCCAGCAGTAATATCAATGTGAATGGTCGCTGGTCTTTCCAAGTTGATGGCTCACCGAACTGTAAGCCAATGAATTGTCTTATTATTTGCAATAAAAGCCATGCAACTGGAAACTCAAACTTAACCTGTACCATTTTGTAACATATTTTTTTACCAGAACTAAATAATTAATTTTTTTTTTTCCTTTTCACAGTACCAGCACATTTCTTTCCTTTTGGAAGTGGAGAAATGGCCAACATCATATCTGATGTTGGAAGCTCCGAAGCCATTGTTTTGCAGCAGCCTTTCAAATTCTTTGGACGCACACACAATCAGATCTTTGTAAGCATTTTTTTCTTCTTCAAAGATATATGTGAGAATACTTTAGTTCTGAAGAAAGTGGATCAGTCTTGTTTGGGCAAATATATGCCCTTTAAAACACACCAAAAAAAAATATTTTTGTTGAATTGTAGGTGAACAACAATGGCCATCTAACGTTTACCGAGCCGCTGTCTGCCTACAACCCCTCTCTGGATTCCGGAAGAGACATCATTGCTCCTCTTTGGACTCACCTTGACAGTAGACGTGGAGGAACTATCTCCTATAGAGAGGACACAAGCAGTGCTGTACTGGCACAAGTCACTGCAGCTGTCAACCAATATTTCCCTAACCTTCCCCTTCCTTTTAATACTACATCAGCCTTCGTGGCAACCTGGAACAGTGTGCCATACTCCTCAGGTGAAGGGGTAAGACCTAAGCTTTACATGTCAGTACTTCATCAATGTTGATTATCCATTGCTGTGTATTTAACTTTGAAATGTTCTGAATTATGTCTATTGGTGTTTTGAAGGTGGTTACTTTTCAAGTTGTTTTGGTGTCCAATCTTGATCACTCCTTCGTCCTGTTCAACTATGGAAACATTTCAGAGACAAGTCAACATTGGCTCGTAAGACTCAAAGTGTTATTACATTTTAAAAGAGATTTAGTTTACAAAATACCAATTTACAGTGCATGTATTTTTTATTCAGGCTCTCTACGACACAGTGGACTCTGCACACTCATCTTCTATTTCCTTACTGACAGCATCCGAATTGTCATCCAACAGCAATGTCAATGTTAATGGTCAATGGGTTTTTCATGTTTACGATGGTAATGTAATGTAATTTCCTTTAATTTTTTATCTGTATGGTTGCGATATGTGCATGGAAAGTTGCATTTAGTCATGGGGTGTGGTTTAACAAAGAGGGGAAGAGAGGATCTAGTCGCAGAAATATATAAAAGGAGAAAGCTCTTTCAAGCACAGGAAAAAACACACTAGAGAATAGAAAAACCACACAATAATGCATATGTAATAATAATTATATTGCGCTTTTCTTGCACCCAAACCACTACAGCAAAAACAGACAAAAGTCAAGTCCAGTCACATTTCTTTATACAACGCTTTTTACAATACAGATTGTTTCAAAGGAGCTTTACGGAGATAATAGGAAAATAATGCAACAACGTTTGTTTCCAGAAGAAAATAGCGTCACAGTCTAGTTTAAGTTCAGTGATGTTAAATCTTTGGTCTAAAAAAAGTTATTAATTTAGTTCATTTATACATATAGCCGCTCTGGAGAAAACCGTGATGTCATCGTCCAGCTCAGTTCTGTTCTCATATAATGGTGTCAATGCAGGCAGGTCAAAATAATTGTTGAATATTAAATTAAATGTTAAATTGAATGTCCCCAACTAAAGCAAGCCAAAAGCCAATGGCAACAAAGGTAAAAAAAAAGGCGAAGTGACCATGCTTTTTATGGCCTAGGATCTGTGCATAATGACTTGATAACCTTATCGGCTATTATATTTTGATTTTCACTCTCTTTTCATGTAGTGTGTGATACTTTAGGCTGCACTGGAAATGAGGTTTGCAATTTTAGAGATGACTATGGCTGTGGTTGCATGGAAGGACAGAGACCTAATCCTGAAACCTTTGGTAGGTGTTATAACTGTGTTACAGCTGTAGTAGATATACTACATTGTAAATAATTTGAATCAACTGCAGATGGTATGCAAGATAAGACGAGTGACACTGCATCTCCTTTCTGCTTAGATGCCACAGAAGTCTGTGCCAGCAGCACTGGGACCATGTCTCTATCCCGTTGCCAACTCTTTGAATCTGATTTTCCTCTTGAGATCCTGCACCTAAATGATCCCAACTGCACAGGGACTGTTGAAGATGGCAGGGTTCTGTTTCATTTTGACAATGAAGTCCACATATGTGGTACCACTCTATCGGTAATGCTTGGTTGATTATCTTTTTCTCACCATCCGATACTATTGATGATGTATTTTAATCTAGAAATATCTGTGACAATTAGTAAACTGACTTAAGATTGTTATTTGTTAATGTCCTCACAGAGCAATGGCACTCACTTCATCTACCAGAACTCCATTCATTCTAACTTGCCAGCAGGTATTATTTCAAGACAGAGATGGGTGAACATTGCATTTTCTTGTGAGTACCCTCTAATCCAGACTCTCTCTATGCCCATGGACATTCAAGCTCAACATAGGTAGGAACTGAATATAAAGTTTTGTAATTGCTGTGATTTGGGTAATGTTCCATACATTTAAAACATTCTCGTGTTACAAACAAAAAAACAAATGATTACTCAAACATGCTTTTCCCGCATGTCATGCCATGGCAGCCTCCATAAATTCAGTGTAATTTTCAATGTAGACCTTAAAAAGTTACATGTATTAATTATTGCAGGTTTATATAGAGAGTTCAGTGTTTGTATTCCCTGTGGGATTTGATGTAAAATTAGGAACACATATTTTGTTTTGAAGCCAAAATATGCAATTTATGTGATTCATACAGGAGTTGTGTAATATTTCATCAAGATATGTGTACTTGAATCAGTACTTTAAATCAGGTATTTACTATTTCCTATGGTTGAGACATGATAGTCTATTGGTGCCCTTTTTATTTGATAACACTCTTATCTATTTGATTTGATTTTTTATCTGTTGCATAATCAAGACAATATTTAGATTCAAAATAAAGTGTCAGTGATTTTGTGTAGGGTTTTTCAAATGGCCCCCTACAAGACTTGAAGATACATATACAAATAACTATTTTATTGCACACCTAAGCTACTGCCTCCACTAGTAGGGGTTAAGGGGTGACTCTATGGCTAACTGGATGCAAATTCTCTACCCGTCTATTGGACACACAGGTTAAGGATGCACATTTAAAAAAGTTAAACAAATAAATGATAATCATAGAAATAATAATAAAGAACAGAGGAAACAGGAAATTTATAACTTTTTTGCCCATACTTTATACCAGAGATTGTATAGAACTTTATACTAAATAGCTGTATAGCTTGTGACTAAACCTCCAACACATTCTCATCCTTTGGCGTCATATTGGTGATGCCATATGACATTTCGTCGAAATCTTACGCACATGGCATCCTTTAGCGTCAATATAACACGCACTGTTATGGGTAGGTTTAGGTCTGGGGTAGGGTACGGTTATGACGCCTTGGGGTCTCCGTCTCATATTGACGCTAAAGGATGCCATGTGCGTAAGATTTCGACGAAATGTACAAAGCGTCACATGTATGACGCCTTGGGATGAGAACGGGCTGAAACCTCATAATTCCAGCGGATCCTCAAATTTGTAATACAAGGTTTTTGCCAACTGTATTAAACAGGAAAAACTGAACGTCCACATATAGCTACAATAAACTTTGTAACCTGTAAGTTGATGAAAACGTAATGCTGGTCTTACTGCCTCAGATGCGGCTGTTAATGACTGAAAAAACACAAATCTCCGACATTCGCTGGTGAAAAACCACGTAACTCCATATGAGTTTGATTTTGTAAAAATGCTATAATAATGACACACGCAAGTGTCTGACCATACATAAAGCCACAATACTAATTATGACAATGTGGTGATTAATAATTATTATTTTTAAATAATTCCTGCATATTTAGTAGCGATTCTACACTAACCTGCCATTTTTGCTGGTTTCAAAACACACACCACACTGTATATCACCTGCCATTCATTTCCATTATACTTTAACAGTTGGTGACATATCCTCGGAAAAAACTCCTGAGATCCAAAAGCTAATGCCAAGCGACTTACCTTGACAGCTGAGCGCAGCCATTTCTCTCACGTTGGATGCGTCAACGTCACGTAGGCCGTAATATTTAAATTCATGTTTGGTTGACTGCCAATTAAAATATTAAACAACGATAAAATAACATTATTAACCAGCTAATGGTAATTTCAAATAAGTGTTTCCGTTCAAAATGATTAATCTTGATTTCGTTTTTTATTTATGTTCCTGTTAAAATATCGTGTTTCCTGTTTTTGTTTTCGTTCCTCGAACCGATTCGGAGCCCTGGTCCTAACCCTAATGTGCAGTTGTACTTATCTTTAAGTGTGTTGGTCATGACCTTGCTACTTTCCCATTGTGTTTGTACTGAAGAAAGAGTTAATGTAACTTCTACATTTTGACCCACAGTGTGTTAAGCATTGACCTTCCTGGCCAGGGCGCATACCAGATCTACATGATTCCTTACCATGATGCACAGTTTACCCGCCCATATGAGGGGGGCATGGAAGTGCAGGTTAACCAGCAGATGTACGTGGCGGTTGAGGTGGAAGGAGTGGATAGAAGTCAGATTGCAACAGTTCTGGACAACTGCTGGGCCACACCAGTTAATGATAGCGAATATCAAATTCGCTGGAATCTGATTATTAGAGAGTGAGTAACTGACTTGAAGCTTCCATGGTTAACAGACTACATTTGTCATCTCTAGAAGGGAAAACTGAAATAATTTGAGAAGTGAGTATTAACAAAGGCTATAAAAATAGAAAGGACGGTTCCCCCCTATTACTAATGAATGGGAGAAACTGCAATGCACAACATGGTGGAATATGTCCCGCCTTCTGAGTAAAAGAGCCACTCGCTGATTGATAAAGTCATTGCGCCACTGCAGCTGCTATTAGAAGCTCGGTTCCCATAAAAACCTAAGACTTGCATTAGGACTCCACATGCACATTGGCACGTCTAGCCTGAAAAATACGCTTTTTAATGCAATTCGAGCATGAGAAACAACCTTAATGCGACAGTTCATCAGATTGTATTGCTGATTTGAAATATGTTATTCAATTGTGAGTTCGGCAAGCAGTTTTTAAGATTTCAGAATTCCCTCATTCAAGTAGATTTGACTTGGTCTTGGATGCCCGAAATAGCTGCCACAAGGTGTTGCCGAGTGAACAGGCACCACACAAGCAACATCTGTACTATAAATTGGTGTGTGTTTACTTTTTATTGTTGCACAGAGATGACAAATGTATTTACACATGAATCACATTTTCAGGAAACAATGCATCACTTGCTCTAAAATTAATTCTCATGCACAGCTGGCAGAAAACTCAGCAAAACATCCTGCTTAGACCATTCTGCTTGCTATTTTGGATTAATCGTGTGGTTTTCGGGGCACTGGGAGCGTTGTAGGCTTCATGAAATGCCTTACACAACTAATTTTCTCTTTTTCTAGATGCCCCAACCCTGAGGATGGAACAGTGGAGGTTCTACAGAATGGCAATGACACAACAAGCCGTTTCTCCTTCAGGATGTTCACCTTCACAGGAGCTTCCGATCGCATTTTTTTGCACTGTCAGGTTCACCTCTGCCTGGTGCAGAATGGAAGATGTGCACAGGTAAAATATTCATAGCATTTTTTAATTGATCCACCTCTTGCATTGCTTTGTCAGTAACTTCCAAGCAAATTAGAAATATTATGATGCAGTTGTTGTACATGGTATCTCTCTAAAAGAAAACCCAATGAAAAAAAAAATGCACTGCAGAAATCATGCAAGTAATGTTAAATGTCTGTCATCTTCAGTCATGCGACCCTGGATTTAGAGGCAGAAGGCGCAGATCTTTGGACTTCCATCACTCTGCAGCGATCACCATGGGTCTTTAAGAGGGCTAGATGAACACCCCTGCTGGATGAAAGATGAATGATGTCAAAAAGATCGTTTTGGTGGATGTGTTATTCAACTCAGTAAACCATATATTTTTGAGGGTGGTTTTTTTTTTGATTGCACACTAGACAAAAAAAATGAATCCCTGAATTAGTTTTTCTTTTTACAGTGTTCATGAAGTAATGCAATTTTCTGTATTCAATCTGTTTCTATTTAATTGGCCTTCTATTTAATAAAATAGTGTGCGTAATGTCACAGATTAGAAAATCTGGCCTGGAGCTGTTTCCATGCATAATTTCATGTATGTCGCAAATTATAGTGTATCTTTCGCATCTCAAATATTTTTAAAATGGGCTTAGACTACTATTTTCACAAATAATATTATTAAATTAGGAAATATCAGAAGCCTACGGCGAATGGGTTTAGGGTCCATATAATAGATTGGTACAGTGAAATGTTCAGTCTCTGCATAGTAACAATCTTCGACGTAAGCTACACTTAAACATTCAAGCCAGTCACGATTTGACGTTGCTGTGGACGCATATAGCCTAATTCAGTTCATTCAAAGCAAAAAAAAAGTATTCATTCAGGTTTCAGAGTGCTCTTTTTTTCAGAGAAAGATGTAGCTGTGACCTAAACATTTTTTAAATATGTAGCATTACCAAGTTATGCATACAGAAAACTGAACACATGTATTAATTAATCAAACAATATAATCAATGAATAATGTAACCAATGATTAAAATGTTTTATTATTATCTTATCATTAGTGATGGGTGTTGTTAATGATTTTACCAATGACATTTATAAATACTCTTATTGATGCTACTCAATTTGGCACAACAAAATAAAGACATAACAAAAAGATATGAAAAGATTCCGGAGTTTCTTTCTTTCAATTGTTTCTTGAGGCAACTGCTACAAATGCCTGGTAGAATGTGCTTTAATTCTGCTTCACTACCAGAAGCTAAACCTGAACAATATTACAATTACCAAAGTCCTTGAGCTTCACAGCAAATAACAAATAAAGAAAGTCAAGTCAAGTCATCTTCATTTATATAGCGCTTTTAACAATGGAGATTGTTTCAAAGCAGCTTTACAGAGATAAACATACAATTTACGGTAACAGATTGTTTTGGCTTTACAGCGATTTTTGAATAATGTTATTTCCAGCCAAAGTTGGTTTTGATTGATTCACTTCCAGCAAAATTATCATTTGTTATTACATTAGGGCCCACTAAGACGACGGCGTTCTCTCTAAACAGACTTTAAACGCGAACCTTTGACCTGATGGCGTTCACATGCGCATTAAAAATTGATTCTATAGTTATATTTGTTTGAATATATGTGCGCAGGTTTGTAATTTCCCAACAAACCATGCCTAAACTACTTGTCTTGCCTATAAATTTGATACAGAATTTTATTTTATCACTTCGGGGTACGCGAACCGGATTTTCAACAACGCTTTATCTGTAGAGTGGGAACGGGATCCTCCATAGGGAGAGGATAGTTGACACTTCAGCACTGCATTGTCATCGGGTCCAGGCGAATCTCTTTCGTTAGATCTGGATACGGCCTGGATCCGGCAGGCTGCAGGAAAACCTCGGGATAAACAAAGACACTAAAGTTAGCGTAGATGCCATTCTTCTTATGATGTAACGAGTACATCTGGATTTAAGGGAAGTGTTCCCAGTTCCGGCTGATCTAATCTATGCAGCCTAACATTGAATTATCAAAGTCTATAATGTATTATGTGTATGCTAGGTCAAAGAGATGTGTTTTTAGTCTAGCTTTAAACTGACAGAGTGTGTCTGCTTCCCGAACAATGGTAGGAAGACTATTCCAAAGTTTTGGTTCTAAATAGGAAAAGGATCTACCGCCAGCAGTCGATTTCGATATTCTAGGTATTATCAACTGGCCGGAATTTTGAGATCGCAATAGACGTGAAAGACTATAATGCTTTAAAACCTCACTCAAGTACCGCGGAGCTAAACCATTTAGTGCTTTGTAAGTAATCAACAATATTTAAAAATGTATACGATGTTTAATAGGGAGCCAATGCAGTGTTGACAGAACCGGGCTAATGTGGTCATATTTCCTGGTTCTGGTAAGAACTCGAGCTGCTGCGTTTTGAACTAGCTGTAGTTTGTTTATTAAGCGTGCAGGGCAACCACCCAGTAGAGCATTACAATAATCTAGCCTTGATGTCATGAACGCATTAACTAATTGTTCTGCATTTGTTAATGAGAGCATATGGCGTAATTTAGATATGTTTTTAAGATGGAAAAATGCAGTTTTACAGATACTAGACACGTGACTTTCAAATGAGAGATTGGTATCAAAGAGTACACCCAGGTTCCTAACCGACGACGAAGACTTGACAGAGCAACCATCAAGTGTTAGACAGTATTCTAGGTTATTACGTGTGGAAGTTTTTTGTCCAATAATTAGAATCTCTGTTTTTTCAGAATTTAGTACTAGGAAATTACTAGTCATCCAATTTTTTATATCGGCTATGCATTCCGTTAATTTTGTGAATTGGTAAGTTTCGTCGGGGCGTGAAGAAATATACAGCTGAGTATCATCGGCATAACAGTGAAAACTAATTCCATGTTCCCTAATGATATCTCCTAATGGTAGCATGTACAGAGTGAACAGCAACGGTCCTAGTACTGAGCCTTGTGGTACGCCATACTGAACTTGTGATCGATAAGACATATCTTCATTTATTGCTACAAACTGATAACGGTCAGATAAGTATGATTTAAACCATGTTGTGGTCAATAGTATCAAATGCAGCACTAAGATCAAGTAACACTAATAGAGAGATACAACCACGATCGGATGATAAGAGCAAATCATTTGTGACTCTGATGAGAGCGGTCTCGGTACTATGGTACGGTCTGAATCCTGGCTGGAAATCCTCGCAGATATCATTTCTTTCTAGAAAGGAACACAGCTGTGAGGATACTGCTTTTTCTAATATCTTTGATAGAAAAGGCAGATTCGAGATCGGCCTGTAATTGACTAATTTTGTATGATCAAGTTAAGTTTTTTTAACAAGCGGTTTTATCATAGCCAGCTTAAAGGTTTTTGGTACGTATCCTAGAGACAAAGACGAATTAATGATAGTAAGAAGAGGATATATGACCTCTGGAAGCATCTTTTTCAGTAGCTTAGTCGGTATAGGGTCTAACATACATGTTGTCGATTTAGATGATTTAACGAGTTTAGAAAATTCGTCCTCTCCTATGGCAACAAATGAATCAAATTTTTCCTCATGGAGACTACAAAGTCTGATGCGATACTGTGGTAGACGGTTGCATAGTTATAATTTTGTCCCTGATATTATCGATCTTATAAGTGAAGAAGTTCATAAAGTCATCGCTGCTGTGTTGCTTGGACACTTCTGGGGTTGAAGCTTTCTTTTTCGTTAGTTTAGCTACTGTTTCAAATAAATACATAGGATTATGTTTATTTTCTTCTAATAGGTTTGAAAAATAAGCAGATCTTGCAGCTTTTAAAGCCTCTCTGTAAGCAATTGAGCTCTCTTTCCATGAAATCCGAAATACCTCTAGTTTAGTTTTCTTCCAGTTGCGCTCCATTTTTCTGGCTGCTCTCTTAAGGGCCTGGGTGTGCTCGTTGTACCACGGTGTTGGACTATTTTCTTTAATCTTCTTTAAGCGCAATGGAGCAACTGCGTCTAAAGTGCTAGAAAAGAGAGAGTTAAAAGTTTCTGTTGCAATATCGAGTTCTTCTAAGCTATCTGGGATGCTGAGATGATGAAACTGATTAGGAAGATTATTGATAAAGCAATCTTTAGTGGCAGAAGTTATAGGTCTAACGTATTTATAACACGGAGTCGGCTTTGCAGCCTTGGCTAAATGTAATTTACATGAGACTAGATAATGATCTGAGATGTCATCGCTCTGCTGCAGAATTTCAACGCCATCAATATCTATTCCATGTGATAATATTAGATCTAGAGTATGATTACGACAATGAGTAGGTCCCGACACGTGTTGTCTAACTCCAATTGAGTTTACAATATCTTTAAATGCCAATCCCAATGCATCTTTTTCATTATCTTCATTAAAATCACCAACAATTAGTGCTTTATCTGCAGCCAATACTAATTCTGATAGAAAGTCCGCAAATTCTTTGAAAAAATCTTTATGGTGCCCTGGTGGCCTGTACACAGTAGCCAGCAGAATTCTCAAATGTGATTTATCGTTTACACTATATATTTTTACATTAAGCACCAATACTTCAAAAGAAGTATATTTAAAACTAGTTCCCTTTCGTTAGGGAACTCCTACGTCTCGTCGGAGGAGTTTCCAACGAATTGGGATCACGCTAGGGAGACCAATTGCCTTCGAGTGAATTAAAACGAGCCAATGAACATTGGCATGCAAGACTTGCATTCCGTGCCCCGCCTGTCAGTGCGGGTATAAAGCGGAAGCAAGCGCATAGACAAATGCTTTTACCTTCGGAGCCGACCGGTAGTGTCATCTGAGTGATGAGCTTCAAGATTGTGTTTGTCTTCACGCTCAACGAGTCTGCTGTTTCTCCGAGACCTCTCTGTGTTGGTGTGACGGCGCTTCAGCGACCTTCGCGATCTCCCGGGTACCAGCTGCTGCTTCACGCGATCTGCCTTTTTTTCAAAGAGCTGTTGTCACAGCTGGTATTCGGTTGAGTGCGCACAGCGGGCTTGCAGTTTCCCCGCTGTGTTGCCGCGGTTATCCCTGTGTGCTTCAGCACAATTAAGAGAGTGTTTTTCTGTGAAAGAGCAACACGGGTGAAGATCGCGTCCTTTTCAGGATGACGTTTCATCCGTGTGTTTCTGGGTGCGGTCAACTTCTGCCTCTGGTTGATGGTCATGATCGCTGCCTCTCGTGCTTGGGCCTCGCGCATGCTGAGGCAGCGTTTATGAATGAGTCATGTTTTCACTGTGGGAGCATGACCATCGCGGTGTTGAGACTGAGACTAAGGACCCTCCAACGAGGTGAAGTCCCTTTGGAGATTCCCCCCAATCTAGTTCTTCTT